TTCCAGTTATAGTTGGTACCGAATGTGCTGATTGTTGGAACATGGATCAGGAGTACACCTAGAAACACCTCCTGCTGCTGTTCTGCTGCTGCTGCTTCGGGGAGGTGTGCCCACTGCAGGATCCACAGCTGTGTGGCTTGGTGGGGTGGCATGGAAGGGTGCTTCCCTCTACCCAGCCTGCGCCTGGGGGATGTGCTGCTGCACAGCCAGCTCCAGCCTGCCGTCGTCCTCCAGGCCAACTGGGGACTGTCCAGTGGGAAAGATCCTGCTCACTTTGCTGTCTTGTGGTTGCTCTGCAGGGATGTGGGGCCAAGTCAGCAGTGTGACCCTGTCACTGTTCCCTTTGCTCAGACCCCACCAGAAGACTTTTCCCTTGCAGACTGAAGTCATGTTCTCCGTTGCCTTGTTCTCTGGCTGCAGAGTCCAAGTCTCATCGTAGAGACAGCGGAAGCAGCACCACATCAGAGCTGTACTCAGTTATGCATCCTCCAAAATGTTCCTGGCCCCACGCAAAGGGTTGGCTCGCTGCGGGGCAGTGCTCCTTCCTTGCAGCACTCCCCTTAGCTTCTGTGCCGAGGGCAGCCAGGTGGACTCAGACTTAATGAGGTTTTGCTTCACATGACTTCCTCCATCATAGGAAAGGAACAAACAGGTGGAGGGTTTTTAAAGCAGGTCACAGAGTATTGATAAGAGCACTCTTTAATTTGTAATTCAAGTAAAAAGCAGAATCTTGGAGTGGGAAGTTTTCTTTTTGTAACACTAAGTACTTGTGCTTCCTCTTTATTCTGTATGCAGTGTACCTGCAGCAGGGCCAAGAGCTGTGAATTTCTCCTGCTTTCTCACCGCTAGAGACTGGCTACTTCTGCCCTTTGTTAGCTTGTTGAGAGGAGCGGAGGACAGGGAGGGGTTGGCTCGGTGAGGTAGGTGCTAACTGGAGTATTTTTGAGAGAGAACACAGTAGAAGCTGACTGCGAGAGAGGTGTGTTAGAAAGTACTCCCGGGGCTGGCATGGTTTTGCTATCTTTGTGTTTCTGATTAGGCTGATTCCACCGTACTTCTTGTCCTGTACAGAGATAAGAGGGAGGATGCTTCACGCCTTCCAGATACTGGTACCATATCTCTGGCGTCGTTCCTGTGGCCATACAAGATATTCCGTTCCCTCCAGTCCTGCTAGTGCTCCTGTTTCTGCCCCAGCAGACTGTGGCCTGCAGTCCCTTGTCATTCTTGTTTCCTTCTCCAAGGTAGTTGTGTCAAACCACACCAGGCTTTTTTCAGAGGCAAAGGTGCCAAGCCACCTGCAATGCCAGTTTACATCAGAGGGAGCAGCAGATACCCAATGCTGCCAAAAGAAAATGCTCCTGTAAATATTTTAGCGAATAATCTCTCTGAAGACTGTTTTGGGATATGATGGATCTGTAGGCTGTGTTTTGTTTTCCTTCTCTCTTTGCAGATGCTGCTCAGGGAATGGTGGAGAACAGAAAGCGTATGCTGAGTAACAAGAGGCAAAAGAGCATGACATTGCTTGTTTTTGTTCAGCCATGCTGAGAAAAGTGCACTGTGGTACGAGGCTGGAGAATGTGTTTAGGTCTCTCCTGAGAAAAATGCTTAGCTGATGTGCTCTATTCTGACTTGCCTTCAGCTCTGTTAGAGCAGATAAAGCTCTGCAAAGGAGGGGCAGATGTATTCAGCACTGCTTTCCACCCTGAAAGCACAGCTGCTGGCAAAGCAGACTCCTCTGCCCCGACCATGGTATGGGGCTCATCTCCAGCTCTAGCTTTTATGATAAACATTCTACAGCTGCCAAGAGCTGGCCATGTCAGTATGGTTGTGTGTGTTCAGCCTCGCCAGTGGACATGGAGTGCGTGGGCTGTGCTATCCTTCAGGTGTATGTGAGTGGGAGGGAAGAATACGTGGTATGTCTTGAGATTATTTAATATATGCATTTGTGTGGGGGGGCTACATATGTGTATCCTGTAGCAACACATCACAGACTTGGAAAAATCTCCAGAAAATCCCAGGTCAGCCATTCTATGTGAAATTGTAGCTTCTCTGTGCTTCTAACACTGGCCCGGGGGCGGGAGCCTCTGTATTCTTTTGCTGTTAGTGCTTGATTGCTCCCCTGTGTGTAAGCTGCTGTGGGACGTGTGTGGGGACTTAGTTCTCTCCTCGCTTCAGATCGTGAAGAAGATGAAAAGAGCAGGAGGTGTTCTGGGACAAAATGGAAATGCAAACCCACAGCTTGTGTGGCACTGAGCAGAGCGGGGAAAGTAGTTGGCAAATCAAAGATGCCAGGGTTCCTGGATTTCTTCTAGGGATGATTCCTTTCAAAAGTGACCACCTTAAGTACATTAGTAAAGGTTTAAAAAATTACATGCGACACACCAGTCTGTCCTGCCTGTCTCAATGCTCTTTCTCTGCTGAAGCTTTTTTGCAGCCTCCCATCTCCTCCCTGACTTGCTTTGCTGTACAGTCAGATTGTGCTGCTGAGCATTATGCTGAATTGTTAGAGCCTCCACCCTTTTTATACATCTATCCCACTGCACTGAAAGAAATCTGTGCTTTGTGTGGAATTCCTCCTCTTCTCTCCTGCCTGTTGTAAGCGCTGAGTTTTCAGACTGTCTCCAGGAGCTGGATGGTCAGAGGAGGAAACTGGTTCATTGCTTGTAACTGTTCTGGCTCTCGAGGCTGATGTGGGGTTTGGCAGGAGATCGCTGTCAGTTCTCTAACACGGGTTAGTGTTTCTGTGCCGGGGGGTGAGTGCGGCGTGTGTAGCACATGTGATCTCAGCCTAGGGAAAGAGACATCGATTTGCACAAGCTGCGTGCCTGCCTGTGTAAGAGGGCCAAGGTCGTGCAGCCTGTGATGCCTCCATGCCTGGCACAGAAGCAGAAAGCTCTGTGTATCAGCAGTAGATAGCAAGTGTAGGTGCAGCACGCTGAACCGTGGGCACTGCTGGGGTAAGTGTGCTGTGGATTGAGACTGGAACATGTGCTTTCTTGGGAACTACTGCACAGTTGGCAGGTGATACGTCTTGCCTGCTATTGTATCTGATTTGTGTTTGCCAAACAGCATTAAACATGTTATCTCTGCCCAGCAGGTATGGTAGTTTCAAAGCTGGCGAGTGTCTATTCTGGGAAAGGTAAGTATTAATACCTAGAAACTTATGCACTAGGGTTCAGGAGACACTTGCTCTGCAGGAGAGCAAATCCAGCTGGAGAAAAGCTCAGTACACCAAGGCTAGTTTTGCCACCACTGAAATCTTTTGGCCGTGTCTGTCTCTTGGTGCTTTACGTTCGTCTGAGCTGCTGGTAGGACTCAGAACTGCTTAGCTGCAAAGACTCTTTTGGGGATGCGTTTCTCCTATGACTGCATGGAAGTTGGCACTTGCTGCCTTTACTGATCAGTTCACAGTGAAATTGTCATTGAATACAAGGAATCACTGCTGTGACCGTGCTGGTTACAGGATCTGCAGTAGGCGAACTGCTGCAAGAGGTGCTGTCTTAAACATCAGAGAATGCAAACAAGCTGCTATTGTAGGCTGTAGTTATAAATATCAGGCTATTATGGAGACAGTTTTAATGAACGAAATGACTTGCCACTATTCATGCTGATTGTCGCGTGGGTTTTTGTTTGTTACCCCATTAAGAGGTTAAAAAAAAAAAGCAACTGTAGCTTCTTTGTGTCCTTTAGAGTGGCTTTCTCTGTCAGTACTGCAGTGTTGGGGCTCTGGAGGTGATAGGGCAGAGATTATTCTTACAAACAATGCTTTTCTCTGTTTTGAAATGAAAAATCAGAACTGACAAAGAGTCTCTGGCTTTTTTCAGAGTACCATAAAATCTAAACTTCCAGCCTTGTCTTCAAGGTGTTTGAAAGTATTTATTGGATTATATTTTATGAGGATGATGGTATGTTTTTATCGCTGTCTGTGGGTGAGAATCTGTCTACTTCCACTGTGTGCGACGCCAGCAGATCACCTTTGTTTTGCTTTCCAGAAGAGTGGCCCTTCGGGTTGATTAATAAGGTTGTGCCAAGCACTGCCCTGTGCTTTCTTGACGGTGGGGTGGCAGCTGCGCTCAATGCTGGTGTTTGCTTCTTACAGGTGTGATCCCTGCCTCTCCTCCCCAGCCTGGTGCCATGGCCGACACAATTTTTGGCAGTGGGACGGGCCAGTGGGTGTGCCCCAACGACCGGCAGCTGGCACTGCGTGCCAAGTGAGTCCTCACCACCCTCCTTTCCTTCCAGCCTCAGCTCTGGCCTGAATGGTTTCCTGGGATCTCTGTGGAGTACTGGCCCACCGCCTTCATCCACAGCCTGGTTCGGAGGCAGGAGTTTGCCTGTCACGGTACCCTAGAAGTGTGCTGCTTGGGTGGGACAGGAGCCTGCTAAGCTGGGGCTCAGTACTTGGCTGCTGCTCAGAGCTGCTGGCCTGCAGTGGAGTTTGCAGCGTGGCTGGTGTGTGGTGGGAGTCCATCCCACCATCCTTCCCCTGGGTGAGAGAAAGGACTTGGAGGCAAGCTCGTATCTCTGCAGCACCCTAAATATAACTGATAGCATCCCCCAGCTGCCAGCACTCTTTTGTTTTAGGAACTTGTCATTTGATCTCATTTTCCCCTGAAGTTAAATTACTTCATAACCTAAAGATGAAAGGGATGGAGATGAGTCAAGCACTAGAATTGCATTTGCTTCTTGGATGCTTTCCTTCTCTGGTGGCCGGTACCCTGCCGCTGCCACCCCTGTGCTTGTCTGAACCTCTGGGGTCAGCCTGCTGCAGAACGTTAGCAAGTAGGAGGTCACCCTGTGTCTGAGGGGACTACCTGAGTGTGAACAGTGCACACCACTGCCACTTCTCCAGCCTTCACCTGAAAGCCTCATTAAGAGAGCTGTGTCTGATAGTCCCCTGCATTCTGCTAGCAGCCGTGACTTTATCCAGTGACCTCTAAACCCCTACTGAATGGTAATTAATTGAGCTGTGAAAGCTCCCGCCTGTCCCCAAGTGAGTGAAGGAGAAATGTCAGCTGCTGTATGTGAGGCACAGTGGCAAGTGGCTTGCTAAAGTCCTCATGTGGGCCTGGGTTAGACCAAGGGAGGAAGTTGCCAAATTTATGTTTCCAAGCATGCCTGGTCATTTGTGTGTTTGAACTGAGGACCTTAGACACGTGTGATCTGGAGGGAGGAGAGTGCAGGTAATCCCTTTGTTCGGGAGTCTGCTGTTGGCATTTGTGGTGTCTGGCATTGGCACCCATTTCTTCAAGGGTACCCCAAAGATAGCCAGGCCTAGGTGCACTAGTTTTCTTTATGGGTAGAGCCAAACAAGAGTGAGGACATGGAGTGGTAAAATACAAACTGGAGCAGAAAGGGAAATGAGAGGGCAGCGAGAGTCAGCACAGCACTCTGCTGCTGGAGGAGTGATGTGGTGATCTGATCAGTGAGAAGAGACTCTGACTTTGGGTGTTAGCCAGTCTGTTAGACTTCTCTGATGGAAGCCTGACACACACTCTGTGTGCCTAGCAGGTTTGGCATGCAGGGCAGGGCAGGGGTTTTGTGCTCTCCTTTCACAGCTTAATTCTGCCCTCCACCCCCTCCCACAGGCTCCAGACGGGCTGGTCGGTGCACACGTTCCAGACTGAGAAGCAGAGGAAGATGCAGGCTCTGAGCCCGCAGGAACTTGAGGTCATTCTGGAAGTCATCCGCAAGGCGGAGAAATTGGACATCATCGAGCAGCAGCGCATTGGGTACAGTCACGTTCATTTGTCCCCTTCCCTCAAAAGGAAAGGTCAGCGCAGACAGAGGAGTGGCTCTCCCGGCTGCCTGAGCTCAGCTTCCATCAGTCAGAGCATCCCTTAGGTCAGTTATTATCCCCTCCTGCGTTGCTTGTTTGGAGGTGATCAACATTGTGAAGGATGTGATGTTTTCCTTCTCTCCATGTCTCAAGCCTTTCTCGTGCCTTCTTTGAGCCTTGGGGCTTGCTGTGGTTGCAGCCACTGACAGACTCCCAGGGAAAAGCAGCCTGCCTGGAAGAGGCTGGGGAAGATGCCGAGTTGTGCAGCTGCACCCCACTGGTAGTGGACAGCACAGCTCAGAAAGCGCTGCTGGCAGCGCAGTTAGGTTTTCCCTTGTCTGTGGCAGCCCCCTGGGATTTCGCCTGGAGCATTGAATGAGTTTATGTTCTAGTTGGCTGAGCCCTCTAGAAGGGGTTTGCTGGCTTGATTTAATTTATGGGCATCCTTTTGCTGCTGCAGATTTCCATTTGCTTTCAGTCCTGCTGGAGGTCTGGCCTCAGCTGCATCTGTGGTCATCCTAACACTCACTGCCTTTAAAGCTGGGGAGTTTGGCATTCATGCGGCATTTACCAGCATTTTCGTGTTTGTGAGACAGGAAACTCCAGTGACTACCAGCCCGTGTCCAGCAGGCCCAGCCTCCTGCCCCTGTGCTTCGCTCGGTCCCTGTGCAGTGCACATTAGTGAGTGCTAACAAGAACTGACAGTGATGTTTGCGTGATATATGGGAGACCCCAGAAGCAGCCAGCGACCCTGAGGGGCTGATTGTTCCTGTGCAGGTTTTGGTGTAGCTTGCAGAAAGCAAGAGCTTTGCTGTTCCCGTGCTGAAGCATTCTCTGAAATGCCTTTGTTAACTCCTGGGAGTTCTCTTGTGCTGAAGTCAAGGATCATAAATCCAGTAATGATGGCTCAGCCTAGCTGTGCTGTCTGACCTCATCACTGTAGGCAGTACCTCTTTCAAACAGACCTTGCCGCCTTCTCAGTGCAGGACGTGGTTGATGGGACATTAGCGATAATGAGAATGGCATTGCATGGATAGCAGGATTGCATTTCCTCCCTGAGCCGCACGCACGCGCATGGCTGCAGCTGGTCCCTGCTTCTGATAAATGGCCTGTCTGTTGTCGTCCCCATCTACAAATGGATGCCTGAGAATTGCCAAGCAGTGATCTCATGACAGCAGCCTTGCTCTGCATGCTCTCCACATCCTGCATCCTAATTGCTTATCCCACCTTCCTTCCCTTTCGTAGTCCTGCTGCTACAGACATTGTGCATACGTATGTGCTTCCTGTTTTCCAAGCAGGCTGTCGAATGAAGCAGGGAAGAGTTACTGGCATTCCTCTACTGCAGCCAGGCTCATTATGGTCTGATGGCTTCAGTCTGGCCTTCCTGCTTCTAATGTGGGCAAGTCACGTGCCTGCAGTGCTGCTTTCAGGGAGTATATGTAAAAATGGAGCAGGGCTTGCTAGGTCTAACTCCTCTGCCCTTTCCTGGTGCTGTCTGGCTTGCTCTGATCTGAGCACTAAAGGCTTTTCCTGCTCTACGGGCAGGAAATCATTGTGCTGTGGCTGTGTGGCCCCAGTGATGCTGAGCTCCTGATGGGTGTAGGATCAAGCCCTTCTTGTAAGCTGTCTGCCGTGCGCCCACTAGCTGAGTCAGGCCTCTCAGTGGTATTCACAGTTCTGATTATTCTGCAGTTGGTGAGTGTTGGTAGCTGCAGTTACAGGGGTTTGTATCCCCTGAAGACCAAGAGCCAGCTGATAGGAAACACTGAGTGCAGAGACTGAAGTGAAAGTACATATGGTCCCAGCATGGGGCCCAAAACTGCACAGAAGAAGCAAAGGTAGGTTGAGTCTGGAGCACGTGCCTGCAGGTTTTCGGAATTCCTACGTAACAAGCGCTTCAAGTT